CCATAAGATTCTTCTTTTTAGCTCAAATTCAATTCAGAAACTGAATCTGCTGTGTCACATCTCTCTCATTCTGTCTCACAGGCCAGCAATGGGCACTGGTTTCAGATGAATGACTCGTCCGTGTCAGTCAGTGACATTAGGACCGTTCTCAACCAGCAGGCATATGTCCTCTTCTACATCAAGTGAGTAAACATCAGTATTTTTAAACATTCTAGGCTTATTCCTTCAGTAGAACTTTTCCCATCATTATTTAATAATGTAGACATGTTTATTCCCACTTTTCTTGTAGAAAATGTATTATTATAACCTAATGTTATAATGTTGATGCTTTGTCATGGTTAATATTCTTTTTTCCATGTCATCAAGTGCACAGATGTGAAAAAAACTGGGTAACTTGAACCATAACGCTGGCATATCTGGTCAGTCATCTCCCCAGCCGGTGGTGATCCCACGCACCATCGCCACCATGCATCACAACAGTGTTGGCTTCATAGGTCCCCAGCTGCCACCACACATGAACAAGGTACTTCCTCACCTGAGGGTACTGATAATGTTGTTGTTTTTGTTAAACCCAGTGTTTCTCTTCTAAAAACCTGTTGTTGTGACTTCTTGTTCCTTCAGAGTTCTCTTCATGTTAATGGGAATGGATCTCTGAGGGACTATCCCACAAGCTCCAAGCCCAGCACCAGCGGCAGTGCGGTGGGAAAACCAAACCATGGACTAGCTTCTTCTGCTTCCTCTGCTTCCATCTCCCACTCAGTAAGCCGGCCCACAATGATTCCAGACAGCGACAAACAACAGAAGCTTTCATTTTCAATTGGGCTAAGGAAACCGAACCGCCCATCTGCTTCTTCCTCCTCTTACTGCCAGCCGTCCTCCGCCAGCAGCTCCTCCTCCTCCAGCTCTTTGTCCTCCTCACAGTCTACCTCAGACGTCCAACCAGACGTTTGTTTTATTCCGCATGCACTAAACCAAGTCAGCGGCATGCCTTTCTGTAATGGGGATCAGAACCCTGTAGGAAACGGGGAATCAGACTGTGGCGGAGGCAGCTGCCGGGGAGGAGTGGAGCAGAAGGCTCAACAGGGCGGCGCTGCGAGGCCGGTAAGAACAGCTGATGGTGTTTATGTACTGATGATGGTCTCCCTCCGCTGTGTTTATAGTGAGACGGGGAGGAGCGGCGAGGAGATCAGCTGGGCTCGTGAGCTGTCAGGCTGTGCGACTGAGTCAGCTGTCAAAACAAACAATTCAATAAATGTGGAAATTGGCAGTACATACCTGCGTGTGCGTGTGTTTGTGCCTGGTGTATTCCACACAGACCAAGAGAACTGTGGCACTCTGGATAACGGCAGTTCATCCAAGTCTCATCCTAATGAAAATAAAGACACAGGAAATGTCTTTGATAATTCTCCCAAAACCGCCAATGGGGAGTCAGGAGTGCACCATCACGGCAATGGATTAAATGGACAAGCGTATGGAGACTTCAAATCCAGCCAAAATGGGCACCACAATGGTCATCACAAAGTGAATGGACACAGCGGCCCTGACAAGGTAAATCTTGTCTTTGTTTTTAGAATGCTTGTCTGTTTGGGTTTTTGTTTTTTGTTTTTAAAGGGACGTATTATTAATATTTCTTTTATTTATTTTGGGCACATCAGATCTCTGGCAGTAATCATGGCAGTTTGACGTCTACGGCTCCTGTTGCTAATGGAATAGGCAGTGACCATAGCCAACCAAAGTAAGCCTAACACTGAACTAAAAAAAACTTATTGCTCTGCTCTCCATTTTATGCATTTAAATTTTTAAGTTTAGAGGAGTGATCTTGTGCTGACTTTCCTCTCTGCCAGTGTGACAAAGCATTGCTCATATTGCTTTTGTATTTTATTTTTCCAGCAAAGATGCCTCATCCCAGGCTAGTTCTTCTCAGAGCATTCATCCTGCTGCTAATGAAAGCCAGGATTTCTCCACTCCTGTCACAAGGGCTAAAACTCCATCTGAACCCCTGCCTCACTGTACAGAATCCTCCGCCGTTAGCGCTTCACCCTCAGCTACTGCTACAACTACCCCTTCTGTTGCAGCTAAAGAATCTGCTTCCGCTCTTTCTTCTTCTGGGCAAGATGGCAACCCTGCAGCCTTACCCCCTCAGCCGGGCTGCTCTCAAAGCACCAGTGGGGCTTCTGCAGCTCCGCAGAAAGTTAGCGTAAGCAAGGATGAAGCCAAGGATCTACCACAAGATAAATGTGCAACAACAGGGACTGAAGGACGTAAGGATACTAAGGAGCAGTATCAGTCCAAGCCTAGTTCTAGTTGCAATGAAAAATGATCTTCCCGAGACAGGGAACGGCTGTACTCTAGCTCTGGAAGAGATAGAGAAAGACACTACAGGGATAGGAGTCACGAACGAGAAAGCGACGACGATCGTCACCGGTACAGACGGGACTACAAAGACGGTCACCACCGCCAGTACAGGGATCGTTTCCCCCTTTCTGGACGTTACTACAGGGAATGGGAGGCCGATCGTCACCGGGAGCGAACCTTCCAGCACCCTCGGGAGCGTGATTGTGACAGGTGCTCTAACCATTACCATTACTACCGCTACTGGTCAAGAGAGGACATTGACCATGAGCGAAGGGGATATGGTTACTCCCACCGAGAGGAGTCTCGTGGCAGTCGGAGGTGGCTGCAGGATAGTAGAGACTCCTGGGCAATGAAGGATAAGAGTAATGGCAAAGAGAGAGAAAATTACTCCTCAAAGGAAGGAAATTTCTCACCTTCTACAGCACCAGAAACAAACAAGTTCAAGGGCTCCCCGCCACGGGCTCGCCTTTCCTCTCCAGACAAAGAGGATCAAAATTGCAAGAGGACTCTCAGCAAAGACAGGGACGACAGCTCTGAGGCCCGCCACACTAAAAAACACAAAAAGAGTAAGAAAAAGAAGAAATCAAAGGATAAAGACAGACACCGTGAGAGTGGGTGAGTACTGCCATCTTTTTCTTGATCCTTTAATGAAAACAGAAAGAAATGTGTTTGTTTGTTTTAAGCTAGATTTTTTTTTTTAAATAATATGGGGTTAAAGCTCACTATCAGTATTATTATTTTCTTAAAAACGGAAAGAATTTTCTTCATTTTATTGATAATGGGTCACTTTTTCTGTCTTAGGCTGGCCGTAAAGCTTGATCTCGGTTTTGTTAAACAATGTCATTGGTTCTCTATCATCCCGTAGAAGTTTTGACGGAGATTCAGACAGAGCTGCGGAAATGAAAAAGAAAAAGAAGAGGAGACTTCCGGTGAGCGCTCCAAGATGGCGGATTAACTTTTTGTCCGCTCCTGATCATAAGTGAGGAAAACTCCACAAACTCGATACAATAAACGTATTCATACTGACGATGATATACAATGCGTGGAGGCAGATGTAAAAAGACACAGGGGGGCTCCAAAAGTTACGGAGAGGCAAAAGACACCTTACAGGACGACGGCGACGGAGCTAGCATGAAGAGGAGCACGGAGCAAAGTGAGGAAAACGAGCTAACAATGGCTAAAGCAATACAAATGATGTTATTTGAGCGATAACATCTGAGAGATGAGGAAAGAAATCAAAGAAGATCTGAATAACCTTCTTCTATGAAAAGGCTGAGATGAATCAGAAGCTACAAGATGCCATCGTGGATATTCGTAATCACGCCACTAGGCTAACTGAAGCAGAACAACGTGTGAACGAACTTGAGACAGTGAATGTGGACCTGATCGATGCGCTAATTCACTGTCTGGACCAGCAGAAAACTCTCCAGACCAAAGTCACGGACCTGGAAGGAAGATCACGCCGCAACAACCTCCGTATATACGGAATTAAGGAAGGTGCTGAGGAGAATGATATGATGGCATTCATTAACAACTTCATAAAGAAAGAACTTGCCCTTCCCGAAGATGAGGAGTTGCAGATTCAGCGCGCTCACCGATCACTGGGATCAAAGCTGCAAGACATAGCGATTGCAAGGTCTATTGTGGTTAATTTCCAGAGGTATGACATAAAAGACAAAATCCTGAGAGCAGCTTGGGCTAAGAAAATTTCTTATGAGGGCAAAACTATCACTTTTACACACGACTTACCGACTGAGATTAACAACAAGCTCAAAGAATACAAGGACATTAAGAAGATCCTCAAAGAACAAAAAAATTCATTGGGAGAGCGGACCACGCCTGTACAAGAGTGCATCAGAAGCGGCAGAGGATATGAAGAAGCGGGGTTACGCTGTGGAGATGCCACGCTGCGGGGACGTCAACTGGGAACAGGTTCTCACCTGAAGCGCACACTGGGAGAAAACGGATAGCTCACACTCCGAACGTGTCCGCGGAAGGCTTCATGGATTTCTCAGACAATAAGTATAAACTATCTTGTGTTAAGCCTCACTGGACTAAGCGGCTAAAATACCTGTTTTGGCTGGCTGGCTCTGTAAGTACTGTTTCCTAATCTCAGTTTATTATAATAGAGGAAGAGGTGTTTAGCCTTTCTATTACGTACATCTTATTTAAGATTTGTAAAGAAATACCTCTACCATATGCTGGCATTGTACATATTGCTCCCGTAACGTTTTTACTTTATACCATTTTTTGCGTTAGACCTGTGTCGTGTAAAACAGACTATGTTGATCAGGACCGAGAGAGATACTTAAAATGGCCTGCATTTGTATAGCGCTTTTCTAGTCCCTAAGGACCCCAAAGCGCTTCACACTACATTCAGTCATTCCCCCATTCACACACTGGTGATGGCAAGCTACATTGTAGCCACAGCTGCCCTGGGGCGCACTGACAGAGGCGAGGCTGCCGGACACTGGCGCCACCAGGCCCTCTGACCACCACCAGTAGGCAAACATGGGGTTGGTATCTTGTCCAAGGATACTTGGCATGCAGCCAGGAGGTAGCCTGGGATCGAACCACCGACCTTCTGATTTGTGGCTGACCTGCTCTGCCACCTGAGCTACAGCCACCCCACAAAATGCGCAGAGACAAGAGCAAGCTGCTGGATGCAGCGATGGAGCTACTAACACATGGTAGGATTTTTTCTCCAATATTGTAAGAATGGACACTATAGAATGACAGGGCACTATAAAGCTGGACTTAACAACCCTGTTAAGAGGAGTAGAGTCATGTCTAAGATAAAGCGGGGGAAAATACAGATTGTGTTTCTCCAAGAAACTCATTTATCTCAAACAGAGCATGAGAAGTTAAAGAAGTTTGGATTCACAAATACATTTTACAGCTCTTTTAAAACAGGTAACAAAAGAGGAGTTGCAGTATTGATACACAACTCCCTACATTTTGAACTTACCAGACAAGTAAAGGATAATGAAGGCAGATATGTGTTAATTCAAGGTAAAATAGAGGGCAAAATGGTAACTCTTCTTTCAGTCTACCTACCACCAAATTATGATTTGAAACTTCTTAAGAAAATCCTTGAATTGATCTCCTCGGAGTCTCAGGGTGTGTTAATATGCGCAGGGGACTTTATCATGCATAAGGATGATACCTCTAATAATAAGAGGATAGTGACTTCACAGAGTAAATTGCTAAGAAAGGGCCTGGATGACTTGGGCTTATTGGATATTTGGTGAGAAATGCATCCAAAGCATAGAGATTTTACTTACTTTTCACCCCCCCCCATGCCGTATATTCAAGAATAGATCTTTTCTTTGTCTTTAGAAATGATAGACATAGGGTAAAAAGTTGTGACATAGGCACTAGGAATATGTCAATATAGCGTCCTGGAGCACTTCCATTGTGTTTTTGAATTTGTACGTGTTTTGGAGTTTGCATGTGTTTTGGAGTTTGCATGTGTTTTGGAGTTTGCATGTGTTTTTTAGTTTGCAAGTGTTTTGGAGTTTGCAAGTGTTTTGTCTCTAGGGGCCACCGTAAAATACAGGTCTACTTAACAATAAGGCTATTATAAAAGAGATAAAAGCCGAAATAAAACATTTTCTAGAAATAAATGATAATGGCCAGGTAAATCCTAACATTTTATGGGACACTTTAAAGGCAGTTGTTAGGGGCAAATTTATATCACTAAGTGCAGCTCTGAAGAAAGCTAAAGAGAATCAGCTAAATGGACTTGAAAATACACTAAAAGATTTAGAAAACAGACACAAAAGACTCAATCTGACCAGACCTTGAAACAAATTCAGAAAATTAAAAAACAAATTCTTGATATATATCAGGAAGAAGAAGAGAAAAAATACAAATTTATGAGACAATCATATTATGAAACGGGGCCAAGGGCAACAAAATTACTTGCTAGAAAACTTCGTAAAAAGCAAATGACGCATTCTATATGCTCAGTCCTTGATCCCCAAACCGGGAAATTACAAAGTGAGGAAGGAATTGACTTGGCATTCCAAACCTATTACAAAATTTTATACGCACAACCTGCACAAGCCAATACAGAAGATATAAAAATGTTTCTTAATTCATTAGATTTGCCATCAATTGGCAAGTGTCAAAATGAATGCCTAACCAAACAGATTCAGAAAGAAGAACTGGAAATGGCCTTAAAGAAACTAAAAAATAACAAAACACCAGGTACAGACGGCCTGCCGGCTGAGTGGTATAAGCATTTGAGGTGGAGGTGCTTCCAGTTTTGCTAAGGTCATTGAACTGGACATTAGAGAATATGTCCACCCCCCCATCATGGTCTGAGGCAATCATAACAATTATACCTAAAGACGGTAAGAACAAAATGCTGTGCAGCTCATATAGGCCGATATCAGTCCTAAACCAAGATTATAAGCTTTATGCCTCAATTATATCTAATAGGCTAAACTCGTTCATCCCAGATTTGATTGATGAAGATCAAACTGGATTTGTTGGGGGCTGGCAAACCCAAGACAACATAAGACGCTCTCTCCACATAATCGATAATGTAAGAGAAAATAATCATAAAGCGGTACTAATTAGTCTGGATGCCGAAAAGGCCTTTGATTGCGTCAGCTGGACGTATTTGTTCTTGGTCCTAGAAAGGTTTGGTTTTGCTGAGAACTCCATTAACAGTATTAAGACATATTCAATGCCTACCGCGAGACTCAAGATAAACGGACGAGTCACAGACCATATAAAGTTGGAAAGATCTACTCGTCAAGGTTGTCCCTTGTCTCCGACTCTTTTCGCTCTTTACATTGAACCTTTAGCACAGGCAATAAGAGAAAATAATAGTATTCATGGGGTCGTGGTTAATTCAAGAGAACATAAAATAGCATTATATGCTGATGATGTTCTTTTGTACTTGTCAAATCCAGACC